ATTTGTTATAAAGCTGGTTTGGTGGTGCTGAAATCTTTTGGCTTTTGTTTATCTGTGAAGCTTTTGATTTCTCCATCAAGTCTGAACGAGAGCCCTGCTGGATAGAGAATTCTTGGTTGTAAGTTTCCCCCTTGCTTCACTTTAAATGTATCGTGCCACTCCTTTCTGGCCTGTAGAGTTTCTGCTGAAAAATCTGCTGATAACCTTATGGGAGCTCCCTTGTATGTTATTTGTTGCTTTTCTTTTGCTAATTTTAACATTTTCTCCTTATCCTTAATTGTTGTCAATTTGATGACTATGTGCCTTGGTGCGTTCCTCTCTGGGTTGATTCTGTGTGGTACTGTCTGCACTTCCTGGACTTGGGTGACTGTTTCCTTTCCCAAGTTGGGGAAGTTTTCAGTGATTATCTCTCCAAAAAATTTCTCAGGTCCTTTCTCTCTCTCTTCTCCTTCTGGGACCCCTATAATGCGAATATTAGTGCACTTCATGTTGTCCCAGCGTTCTCTTAAACTACCCTCATTCCTTTTAATTCTTTTTTCTTTTTTCTGTTCTGAAGCATTGATGTTCACTAATCTGTCTTCTAGCTCATGGATCCATTCTTCTGCCTCATTTAGTCTATTCTTGGTTCCTTCTAGTGTATTGCTCATTTCAGTGATTTTATTCTTCAACTCTGGGTGTTCTTTATGTTTTCCAACTCTTTACTAAAAACTTCACTCTGTGTATCTATACTCCTCTTGAGTTCTCTGAACATCTTGGCCATCATCACTTTAAACTCTTTCTCAGATAAATAACCTATCTCCTCATCACTTATTTCTTCTTCTAGAATTTTATCTTGTGCCTTGGGAGATATTCCTTTGCAGCCTCATATTGTCTTTCTGTGTGTTTGTGGGTTCCTTCCACAGGCTCTAGGATTATTGTTTTCTTATTTCTGGCATCTTCCCCTTGATGGATGAGGCTGAACTAGAGGCTTATGCAGGTTTCCTGGCAGGAGGAGCCAGTGCCTGCTCACTGCTGGGTGAGGCTTGGTCCTGGACCTCTGGTGGGTGGGGCTGTGTCTAGAGGCCTTTGTGGCTTAGGAAGTCTGAGGCCGTGTTCCCACCCTGTGTGTTGTTGGCCTGAGGCTTCCCTACAGGCTGTTGGGTGGGGCTGGGTCTTGGTGCTAATGACCCAATCAAGATGTCAGCTTCCAGGAAAGCTCATGTAGATGAACACTCCGGAAATATCCGCCACCAGCTTCTATGTCCCCTGGGTGAGCCACAGCCGTCCCCCACATCCCCAGGAGACCCTCCAAATCCAGCAGGCAGACCTGGCCCAGGTTCCTATGAAACCACTGTCTCTGCCCTTGGACCCGGTGCACGTGTTTCCGTGTCAGCTTCTCAAGAAAATGGAGCCTCCATTTCCCCCTGTCCCATGGGGGGCCGAGAGTCAAGCCCCGCTGGCCTTCAAAACCAGACGTCCTGGGGTCTCCTTCTCTTCCCAATGCCAGGACCCGGGCTGGGGAGCCTGACTTGGGGCTTAGAGCTCTCAACCCTGTGGGAGGGCCTCTGCCACTTAACAAATCTTTAGCTTGTGGGTTGCCCACCTGGGGGTGTGGGGCGGTTATATCACGAGCACGCCCCTCCTACCATCGTGCCGTGGTTCTCTCTTTATAAAGTTTCCAGTTGCAGAAGATCTTTTTTGCTAGGTTCCAGTCTTTTTCAGATGGTTGTTTAGCATTCAGTTGTGGTTTCGTTGTAGTCGCCAGGAGAGGCAATCTCGTGGTCCTGCTGCTCTGCCATCTTGACCGGAACTCCCTTTTATTATTATTATTTTAATGGAGGCACTGGGGATTGAACCTAGGACCACCTTCATGCTCTGCCACTGAGCTATACCCTCCTCCACCCACCGCCGCATTAGAGCTTATTTGTGTCACTGAACAAGAATCCTTGCTTCGCGGCAACAATTATGCACATGCAAATTAAAGTTTGGATGCTGTGATTAATATGAACACGATGTGATTTTTTTTGTTTTTGTTAAAAAATGTTTTTTATTTGTTTTCTTCAGGTTCCAGTGGAATACCTGTGAAACTGGTCACAAATCTCTTTAACTTGGACTTGCCCCAAGACTGGCAGCTCTACCAGTATCATGTGACATATAATCCAGATATAGAATCTAGAAGGCTGAGAATTGCTCTGCTTTATAATCACAGGGAGCTCTCCAACAAAGCAAAAGCATTTGATGGTGTCATCCTTTTTCTCTCACAAAAGCTAGAAGATAAGGTATTGTATGGTTAATTTTTTTATATATACACGCACATATATGCATATATTTATATTCATCCATGTAGATTTGAGAGGTTAACTGATTTTCCTGGCAGTTGGAACGAGTGTTTCACTCACCCCTTTCTTCTTTCCTGTTCTGATGCCTGAGAGCAAAAGACTTTCTAATTAAGACCTCATCAGTGTTTGACTTCTTAACTAAGAAGCTGATGGTCTGGCATTTAAAACAGAAGAGCTGTAATATAAACATTACTTTTTCAACTTTTTTGTTTTAAGGCAAAATGTCCTTGAGATAGGAATCCTTTTTAAACTTTTCCCCAAATTGGCAAGACTTTAAGAAACTCCGTTTACCTATAGCCTCAGAGCTTTAAGTTTACTATATAATTTTTTGGTCCTATGCAATTGTGTCCATGTGTCAAAAGAACTTTCCATCAATCCTTGATTTAAAACTTATTCCTTTCATGGCTTGTTCCATCATACGAAATAGAGTTATTTATATCAATCTTAAGGATATATTTAATGGTTGTCATCACTGGATATGGAAATTGCAGGATTTACAATGTTGTGTTAGTTTCTGGTGCACAGCATAGTGATTCAGTTATACATATATATATTCTTTTTCATTATAGGTTTTTACAAGCTATTGAATATAGTTCCCTGTGCTGTACAGTAGGACCTTGTTGTTTATCTATTTTGTATGTAGTAGTTTATATCGGCTAATCCCAAACTCCTAATTTATCCCTCACCCCCGCCACCTTTCCCCTTTGGTAACCATAAGTTTGTTTTGTATGTCTGTGAGTCTGTTTTGTAAATGAGTTCAATAGTATCATTTTTTTCAGATTGCACAAACAGTGGTATCCTGTGATATTTGTCTTTGTCTGACTGACTTCAACTTAGTATGATCATCTCTAGGTCAACCCATGTTGCTGCAAATGACATAATTTCATTATTTTCTATGGCTGAATAGTATTCCCTCACATATATATTCTTTATCCACAACTTCTTTATCCAATCATCCATCAATGGACACTTAGGTTGCTTCCATATCTTGGCTGTTGTAAATAGTGCTGCTGTGAATACTGGGGTGCATATATCGTTTCGGGTTAGAGTTTCCTCCAGATACATGCTCAGGAGTGGGATTCAGCACAGCTCTCTTGAGATGAGGTCTTAAAGAGTTGAAGTAACTTAATCCATATCATTCAGGCTACAAGAGGCAGGGAACCAGGGTCTCTCCAAGTCCAAACCATGTGCTCTTGAGCTCAGTGGTAAATAATGGTACTGGAACAGCTGAAATGGATTAGAGACCCTGCTGGTGTAGACGTGCTAAGACTGGCCAACCCGTTAGATAGCAGATGGAGGGGAGAAGTGGAAGCTCCCTCTGAAGCTAGCAGCCTGGGGACTGGAGGCTGTGGGGTCCAGTAACAGGAAGCAAAGAGGAGCAAGTGTTTGGTGGGGGAGGTACGGGGACACTGATGAATTTGCCCTTAGGTGACTGTTAGGAGAGCAGTTCCTGGACAGAGGTCTGAGCGGGGACCGTCTGCCGCCAGCCACTCATCCCAGCACCTTCGTTGTCTTCAGCCTTTGTCCTGAGACCCCTGTGGCAGTCCGAGAGCCTGCCCTCTCCTGCCTGCTAGACTTCTCCGGGATGTCGGTGGGCTCTTCCTGTAGCTCTCCGCCTCTGAATTCTGTGCAGTTTTCTCAGAAGCAAGACATCAACTCGATGAAACACTTCATCCCCTCTGAAAGGACCTGTTTCTCTTTGTTTCCATTCAGTGAGCTATTCCTGCCATACCTTCTTGGTTTAACCTAAAAGTGGGTAAAACTACCCTGTCACTAGGCAAAGTAGGGATAAAATACATAAATGATTGCAATAAACTGACCTCTTTGAACTCCTTACCCTTCTGCAAAGTGCTTGATCATTGATTTTTATTGACTGTTCATTCTTTATTCCGAAAACCTGTACCGAGCCCTGCCTGGTCTAAGGAGCTTTAGATTTAGTTGGGCAGCTGGCATAAAAACCTATTCATGCATTCATGATATTGTTAGAACATCGTTCTGGATTACAAGAACCCTAGGGATTTCTCTAAACCTTTCAAAAGTTCAGATTTCCTCTCTGTTTAACTTTCACCATTTTCTTCTCGCTCTCCCTACATTGCCTTCCCCTCGTCTGCCCCCTGTCCTTTGCTTTCTTCTTCTTTTCCTCTCTGCTCCTTTCTTTTTTTTGAATAAAATTTTTAGAGGTTTTCTTCTGAAATCTGTGAACCCAGGATGGGGAGGAATAGTCTTCTGGGCACCCCTGAACTCCTGAGAACGGGTCCATTATGTACATTGTTGTGATATATACATATGTGACATTTTCTTAGGAGAATATTTGTAACTTTTATTAGGCTCTCAAAGTAGATTATGACCTGTCTCCCTGTCCCTCACACCCCCCATTTAGGTCAAGAACCACTGCTCTGGAATTCTCTTTGTGTTGAATCTTTGAACCCTGAGTCTGGTTTTGGTTCCTTATTAAGAAGTTCGAGAGTCGAGAGGTGTGTTTCTTTTCTAGGATTAACAAGATACAGAGAGAAAGAAACTCTCCAAACGTAACGCGATAATTAGATTATAACTCACATGACTAACACCTGCAGTTTTTTTTTATTGATTTATAATCATTTTACAATGTTGTGTCAAATTCCAGTGTTCAGCACAATTTTTCAGTCATTCATGGACATATACACACTCATTGTCACATTTTTTTCTCTGTGATTTATCATAACATTTTGTGTATATTTCCGTGTGCTATACAGTGTAATCTTGTTTATCTATTCTACAATTTTGAAATCCCAGTCTATCCTTTCCCACCCTCCACCCCCCTGGTAACCACAAGTCTGTATTCTCTGTCTGTGAGTCTAACACCTGCAGTTTTGTTTCTGTTAATACATATCACATGGTGATGGTTTTTATCGTTTCTACATTCTGTGCACTTGGGGATAATCTACAGAGTGCATTTTAAGTACTTCTTTTTCCAGGTCACGGAATTGTCAAGTGAAACTCGAAGAGGTGAGACTGTAAAGATGACCATCACTCTGACCAGGGAGCTGCCGGCAAGCTCTCCCGTGTGCATCCAAGTCTTCAATATCATCTTCAAAAAGTAAAGTGCCTGAAATGTGAATTTAGCTTCAGCTAATGATGCCTTTCAGCGTCAAGCCTGGGGCTTAAAGTTTGTTGGCAATGTCATCTTTAGGGCAGTGTTCGACGTACTTGCATGTTCTTGTGCAGTGACGTGCCCCACAGTGCATCCCAGCCTCCAGCTGCTGCCTCTGTTACTGTCCAGTATTACATGTGCTGAGACAAAGAACTTAAAGCTTGTGATGTCTCAGTGGCAGCAGGGCAGGTGTTTTTTCTCCCCTCTTCTTTTTCTGTACGCCTCCCAGCCTCCACCCCCGACTTAAAAGTTGAGTGAGCCTGGCTTAGTAACTGGAAGGACTGGTTTTGCTACTGGCCGATATAACTGAGGTGTTCAAGGCCGGCACCACCTGCTCTCAGCCCCTTCCCTCCCCCGTGTGTTCCGGGGGCAGAAGGAAGGTGGTGATAAGCTTTTCAGTGTTCTTCAAACTGATCTGAGCACCACTTGCTTCAGAGTTGTTGGGGTGAAACTTGACAAAATGCAGATTTCCTAGTCTCTCCCTGGACCTACTAAACAGAATTTTGTGAGTGGGGCCTGAAAATCCACATTTTTAGCAGGCTTCTCAGACGACATGTGGGAGCATGAAAACTTGAGAACTGCCATTTTCTGAACTATTGATGTAGTCACTAGAATGATCTGTTAAAACCTAAAATGCGAACCAGAGGGGCCAGGGGCCAGGGTGAGGACGGGGGAGTCTGGGGTTTTGCTGGGTAGGGCACAACTTACCCCACACAGATACGTGATTTCCTCATTCTAGGCCGCTGTCCTGTGAGTATCTTTAGATCATATCTGGGCCTCAAATCAGTGCTGCCAAACCCTCTTCAGAAGCCAGTCTTGCGCATGGCTCCCTGAGAGGGGACTGTTTTAAGTTAGCGACATTGGAAGGTGCTTTGCGGTGGCAGACTTTTCTCCGGTGTTAGAACTTACTCGAGCACCCTGAGGCAGGTCCTGTTCAAATCCCCGTTTTAGGTAAGGCAGCTAGGCTCAGATGACATCTGACATTCGGTAGCCCCAAATCATGCAGTTGGAGCCCCTGTTTCTTGACTTGAAACTCGATACCCCCCCCCCACGGAGCAGCCTCAGATTGGCCATGGGTCACATTCTAAAGGTGACCAGGTTTAGTTGTTGAAGAGGCAACCTGGTTACTTGGTAGCCCCTGGGGAGCTGGAATAGCCTCATCAGAAGCAGCCTCCTCATCTCAAAATGAGAAGGAGGCCCGAAGAGCCGGTGGGTGTGGACTGCCTCGCCCCATCCAGGCTACCCAGCGTGTTACAGGCACAGCCATCACTGGTGAGTGACCAGCTACTTTTCCAGTGCGGTTAAACCCAGGCAGACAGAACTCATTTCGGCTGTGTCCTCCCCAGATCCCTCCCCAGGGGGGATAGTTCCTACATACACACTCCTACGTATGTGCGGTAGCTAACCCTCCCAGCTCTGCACTTCTGCTATTTTGATTTTAGCACGGGTACAAACTTCCGACGACACCATCAGTGACTGATGTTTGACAAAGATTTAAAATACATATATAATTGCAGGATCTTAAAAAGGCTGTCTATGTACCAGATTGGACGGAACTTCTACAACCCTTCCGAGCCAGTGGAAATTCCCCAGCACAAGTAGGTGTATTTGTATCTTCTGTTACGTTGACGTTGTTGCAGTGTGAACGGCGTAATTTACGGTGCAATATTATAGCCCTGTGCCTCCTATGAGAGACTCTGTGGGGTGAAAAGTAATCAATTTTTTAAAAATTTTCAGGTTCTTTACAGAATGGTAAGTGTCAAAGGCTAGCAGCCTGTTTTCTTATATTGGTGTGCTGGACCGTTATCATATGTCCTAGGAGGAATTCAGAAGCTGAGTTTTCTGTGGATGACAAGTAATGATGGAGTAGAAGGAGCTGTAGTGTGGTATATCACATAGTTGGCGCTCTGTTTTCTTGCTGGCAGAGGGTAACACAGCTAGGGTGGTTGATACGAAATTGTTGGGTAAGGAGAGGCCAGACAAACAAGCTGCTGAGCTGAGCTCCCCCGGTGAAGAAGGGCGGAGCTGTTAGGACCACTTGCAGAGTTTTCACCCTGAACTGGGAGGTTGATGCTGCAGGGAAGGTGGTCAGCTATGCCTTGAAATGATTGCTAGTCGGCTCTCCAGAATATGTGGTTGAGCCAAAGACAGAGGTAACCAGTAACCCAAAGACAGACACGGAACAGAGGGAGACGTATGGACAGTCTCTGACTTACGGCACTTCGACTTTACGATGATGCAAAAGCGATGCACATTTGGTGGAAACCATACCCTGAACTGTGAATTTTTCTCTTTTTCCTGGGCTGCGATATGCAGTGTGGTGCTCTCTCGTGGTGCCGGGCAGGGGCGGGAGCTGCAGCTCCCCATCAGGCACCCGATCACAAGGGTAAATGACCAGCACACTTACAACCATTCTGTACGCACACAACCATTCTGTTTTCCACTTGCAGGATGGTATTCAATAAATGACACCAGACAGTCAACACTTCATTATAAAATAGGCTTTGTGTTAGATAATTTTGCCCAACTGTAGGCTAATGTTTAAGTGTTCTGAGCACATTTCAGGTAGGCTAGGCTATGATGTATTAAATGCATTTAAGACTAAGGATATTTCCACCTTGGGATGGGTTTATCAAGATGTAACCCTGTCATCAGTCGAGCAAGACCTGTGCATAAAAGAAAATGGGGCAGGGTGTTTGGCCTTCTGCCAGGTAGAGGAAAAGGGCAAGGTTTCCAGATGTTAGTTCCATGTGTCAGCGTGGTCTGTATAAAGCATCCTGTTCATTCATCCCTGTCACGTATCTCTGCACCTGGATTAGAAATTCAGTTCAGTGCTGTGCTGAGCTGGAGCTGGGGTTGTGCCTATGCTGGTCCTGAAGGCTGGTTTAGGATCACGGTGACTGAAGTCCACAGGCCATAAACTGAAATGGTTTTTAAAACACGTTTGTCTGCTCTTTCATGCCATTTCCCTAACTTTTTCTTACTCAAGACTTCAGACCACGAGATTCATGAACGTGGAAAGGAGCTGTAGCCACTGCTGCAGTTTCCCTTGTGCGTCCACGTGGCACTGCTTGGATTAGTTCTTGGTCTCATTATTCAGTCTGTTCACTGTCTTACATCGGGTCCGTGTGCTTTGCTGAACCGAGATGTTCCCATGCTGCAACAGAGCCCTCCCTTAACATATGAATCCTACAGCTGTGTTCCCAGCCAGGGGTGACTTTGCCCTCTAGAGGACATCTGGCAGTGTCTGTAGATATTTTTAGTTGCCACAGCTCGGGGGTTGCTACTGGCATTAGTGGGTAGAGGCGGGGGGGGTATCGCTGAGCATCCTGCAGTGCACCTAACAGCCCCACACAAAGAATTATCCAGTCCACATGTCTGAGGCCAAGGTTGCAAAATGCAGCTATACATTGCAGGAATGTATTTTATCCTAAATATAATGTTTAGAGACAGCCCAGCACTGAAGTGTTTACTCAGCCACTGAAAGAAATCAGACTGAAAAAGAATTGTTTCATAAAATCTAGAGACTGGAACATAAAATCACCATTAAAAAATGTTTGTTGTTTTCCTGATATAACATTTAAAACATTTATTTAAAAAGTTTTACTTATTTGAGTTTTTTTTTTTAATTTTATTTTAAAGATTGTCCCTTTGGCCTGGGTTTGCTGTTTCTGTATCATATTTTGAAAGGAGTCTCCTGTTTAGCGCTGATGTGAGTTATAAGGTACTCCGGAACGAGACTGTTCTGGAATTCATGACTGATCTCTGCCACAAAACTGGCATGTCCTGCTTTACCCAGACGTGTGAAAAACAGCTGATCGGAGTCATTGTCCTGACAAGGTAAAAGCCTGCGTGGAAATAGATGTTTCTCTAGAGAACGCATTATGTACGCCCTGTGGGAACAGGCGTCCGGGCACTGGCCTGAGCACAGATCTGGGCAGTCTGCTCACCTGCTTGGACCTGGCCACCCTCGGTTGTCTAGAGTTCAGGTGTCCTCGAGTGGCGTGCTGGGCCGTCCACAGTCTGACCTGGTCCTTCCTTGTCTCCTGCTGTCCCCTCTGCCCCCATCTCCCAGGAGTCTGCACTTCGCTGTTCTGGTCCCTCTGCCTGGATCCCCCACCCCAGTTTCTGCCTCCCACATAGCCCAGCTCAAACAGTACTGTTTCCTGAGGCCTCCGCCTGTCCACTCAGTTGGAATTACTCAGTTCCCTCCCCTGTGCTGCTCCCATAGCACGTGGCTTGTAGTTACCTCTTTACAACCATTTTATTTCATTTTATTCCATCACAGGACAACATCAGGTCCATGTCTCGCCTTCTCTGTAAGATGATGAGATTGTTAAGGCTGAGTCTTTTCAAGTCTCTGGGTTTGTCTGTGTATAACTTGCCCTCCGTGCATGTGGAACTGAATGACCCCTGGGCAGTTAGGTGACTTCCTGAGTGTAAAAAGCTCCCATCCACTGCTGCGAGTCCACCAACACTTCTCTTAGAGGCTCTGCTAGCCTTCTCTAAGGCTGGCTTGGAATTTTCGCTGAAGTTGTTTTTCTGGGTGATAGATGGCGGGGGGCGGGGCTGGTTGGATTCCATGCCACTCCCTTATCCTCCTGTCATGCTCTTCATGAATTAGCTCATCACACTAGTTCAAAGTCGCCGTGCAAGGTACCGAGAGCCCAGGAGAAACCTGACAGGGAGGTTTCCGTCCCGAGGCCGGGATGTCAGGAAAGGATGTTCTGTGCCACACAGAACCTGCTGAGAAGGGGAGAAGGAGCTAGATGACCATAGCCGAGCTGCCTTGCCGTTCTCCCCAGGGCCAGTCCTAGGTGGGAGATGGAGCAGGCTGCTGGAATTGCAGATTTGATCAGCCTTTTTTGGGGAGTGCTTTTTATCAGAAAAACAGTCTGGGAGTTCAGAAACTCTGAATGACGCTGGAAGCTGATGGGAAAGTTTCGAGCGATGCTTTGGCCTGTGGACATTTAAGAATGGTTTACCCGCAGTTACAGTGTCTCTCAGTGAGAAAAGCAGCGGCTGGGCTGATGACTCTCCCGTCGGTTCGGTTTTGCTGAAATACAGAGGTCTTTCTGTGAACCGAAGAGCTCATTAATGCTCTCCTTAGATAAGAGCTGCTCATTTTTTTTTAAAGTGACTATTCTTGAGTTACTATCTTTCATAACTCCTGAAATTCTGGAGAATAATACTTTGAATTAAAAGTGTAGTGACATAGGTACTTACTTTGTATGATCTGGGAAAAAAAACTTAAGCACCTTTTGTATTTATCAGGTACAATAACAAAACCTATCGCATCAATGACATTGACTGGTCAGTGAAGCCCACGCACACCTTCCAGAAGCGGGATGGCACTGAGATCACCTACGTGGATTACTACAAGCAGGTGGGACTTTTCCTTCATCCTCATCCCCCTTCCTCTTAGCTCAGAGAAGTCTCCCTGTTCCATTCCAGTCCACCGAGTCCCTCAGATTGGCAGGCTGGGTCTGCCTCCAATATCATTCGCTGATCCGTGCCTTCCCCTCCGTCCCCACCATTCCTGGATTGGCTCAGACCCTAATCCTGTCTCCTGTTGTCCTTCCTGTAGTCCAGTTACCGCCTTTAAAAGCACATCTGATAATGTCACTTCCCTGCTTAAAATATTCCCACGGCTCCCTATTGCTGTAGAAGCCAGATGTAAGCTCCAGGGCAGAGTTTCCAAGGCCCTTTATGATCTGACTACTCCCTGCCTCCTGAGCCGCATCCCTTACCATCCCAGGTTTCTTAGTCTGTTCTGCTGTGCTCACCATTTGTGGTTCCTTGAGTCACTTACTCCCCCATGCATTTCCCCACACGTTGCTTCCTCTTCCTGGACGTGCATTTGCAGTCAGCCGGTCACTGACCAGTCTCCAGTACTCAGCTAAGCAGTCAACTCTTAAGGGAGCCCCAGGACACTCTCCCCAGGGCTCCCCTCCCTGCACTCAGCAGCCTCAGATGATCATGGGCAGGATGTGAATGGTCTGACTCCCTTCCTCAACCCTGAGCTCTTAATTTCTGGATACCCAGGGCTAGCACGATGCCTCGCATGTAGTAGATACTCAAACATTTATTGATGTAATCTTCTCCCAACTCTGGGAACTTGATTCACAACAATTATAATTACCCCATCCCCACCATCTGTCCTTTCAGAGATGCCTTCTTTTTCATGCGCAGTCAAATTCCAGTCTCCAAAATCTCACTGATGTTTTAAAAACAAAAACAAACCCAAAGCTAAAACCCTACCTTGACCGTTCTACACCTTCAAGAAAAGCCATCTCCTTTTCCACCTTAGCTTATTTCTTTAGAAGACCATCTACACTAGCTCCAAGCTCCTCTTCAGTTCTTCCTTCCTGATGCTTCAGAAGTCTGGTATCCGATTCTGCTGTGATGGAAATAGCTCTCTAAGGTCAAATTCAGTTGTCCTTCTTATTCCAACAGGCTTCTGGTGGCTTTTGACACCAGCGACCACTCACCCCGAGCTGAACTCCTCATCCTTGACTCCTTAGTGCATCTTTGGTGATTCTCTGCTGGGTTTCAGGTTGTTCTTTCTCAGCCTCTTTTGACATTTTGCCCCTTCATTTCTCCCCAAATTAAATGCATTTGTTCACTGTGGTCCCCTTGCATAGGATCTTTTCTGCATATTTTGAGATCGCTCAGATATATTATTTTGCTTTTCCCTTGTTGCATTCCTCAATTACATACTCATCTCCATTTCAGGTCACATTTGCATGAATATCCTGCAGGCATCTCAAACTAACAGAATTCAAACTGAATTCATTGTCTTTCCCACTCCAGTCTCTCCTTGGGAGTTCTGCCTCTCAGGAAATCATTTTGCTCCCTTCCTCTTGTTACTGAGTCCAAACTCATTGTGCTCACAACACAATAGGCCAGAAAATAGGGAGACGAGGTGTTGGGGCAAGGAATGATGACTTTATTCAGAAAGGCAGCAAACCGAGAAGATGGCAACTTCATGTCCTAGAGTACCACCTTCCCCAAGTCAGAATTCAGCCTCCCTTTCATACTAAAAAGGGGAGAGGGTGAGGTTGGTTGTTACAAACTTCTTGCTGTCAGAACTCTTTGTTCTTACAGCTGTCCCTGTAGGTCAGGTCAGGATGTTTCTGTAAACCTCCAAGACAAATGTTATTCTCTGTTCTGCAACTTTTTATCGCTCTATGAATGGAAAAGTGTTCTACCTTTAAAGGTCAGAGGCTGGAGAATGGGCTGTCCTGTGTATTTCAGGCTATAGGCAACATTCTTTCACAAAAGATGTAGAACCAGCATGACTCAGCACAGGAAACAGCACAGGGTTAGCAGTAAAGAACAGATCTAATGTGGAGTCAGATTTGTGCTTCCCTATTACATTCTTCTTCACTCTCACCTCCTCATTCAGTTGTCACCTAGATGAGTTCTGCCTCCTTTATCCCTGAATTCTCCCTGGGCCCTATGCCCCTCCCCAGCCCTGTTAGCACTGCGTTAGTGCAGAACGTCTCACAGATTTCCGCTTGGGGGATTTCGGTCCCCCTTTATGATCTCCTTGTCCCAGCTCTCTCTTCACTGGGATCCATCACCCTCACTGCCACCAGAGCGATTGTTCTGAAATGCTGCCCAGAAATGTGGTAAAGAGCATAAGATCTGGAATCAGATAGTCCCGGCACTGGCTGTGCAACCTTGGGCACATCCCTAAACCTGGAGCGTCGTCTGTGAAGGGAGTCATCTGTCTTCTATCATGACGCCATAAGTGCTGAACGAGGTGCTTGTCTGCGCACAGCTCTTAGTCCGGTGCCTGCACGAGGCGGGCACTGGGCAAACAGCCTTCCTTTCTTCATCTGCAGCATCACACAGTTTGAGCCCACCTCACCTTTTGGCCTCATCGCACATGCACCCCATGCTGCCATCACCCTGGTCTACTTGCTGTCACTCTGTGTTCCTCAGCCTTTGCTCATGTTTAAGAGACAGTGGCATAGAGCCACACTGTGCCTTTCCTCCTCACCACCAAGTGAAATATAAAATACTAGCTTTAAGGTCAGATGTCATCTCGTTCATGAGGTCCTCTCTGACGTGCAGAAAATGTGCTCCGTGTGTGTTTGTTTAACACAAAATTTGTTAAACTCCCAGAGCTTTCCCTGCATGGCTAAATTCATTTTTTTTTTAAAATGCATTTTAGGACCTGTGACATTCTGAAAAAAGAATCACGATAAAATTCCACTCACTGTCTTTGTAGTGGATTGTGGTTCATTGCATATATATTGTAATTAGGGAGAAAAAGAAACAAAATGGTGCCAATTACTAGAATATCCTCCTCTCTTTCCCAGGAAGGGAACACTAGATTATTAGGTAGTCAGCTTTTCAAGTGGAAGACATCTTATATTGACCTTTATATTTCTCTGTTTTTATCTTATCATGAAAAATGGTTTCAAATGCTAAGAAGGTCTGAGCACGGGAGAGAGGAAGGATCACCTGATGACACAGCTTAGTGGGGAGAATTCGTGGCCATGCTCTAGGGAAATAGAATACCCTCTTCCTGAAGTATGCCCCAGTTGTGCTGGAGCTGTTCCTGGAGCTTGTTACACTCCCACATTTTTTTTCAAGGCGCTCCCTCAGATTCTCCCTCCTTCGTGAAGCCTTCCCTGATTTACCAGCCATAAATTATTTCACTACCACCCTGTCCCTCACTCCTTGCCAGGGACTCGGGACCGCCTCTTTTATCTTTGCATCCCCTGCGGTTCCTGGAATCCAGTAAGCACAAGATATGAATTGATGAAGTCATGGGTGAAAACTCTCATTCTATGAAGGCTTCTCCAAGCTTTTCAGCCGTGGCATTGTTGTAGTCGCCACTTTCAGTTGCGGTTTCCTGGATTGTTTTTTTATTTTAATGACTTTCAGTCCTTACTCAATAGAGAAACTCTCACTTCATTATAACTATTGAGGTCGGTATGAGGTAAGTCCCCAGGCATTTTGTAAATGTTAATCCCAGTTCTGTCATCAGCGTTGAGTAAATTATACTGGAAATGAGTGTTAATTGGAAACTTGGCCGTTGGAAGGTAAACGGACGTTTGGCAAGGTGAGAGTGTTGAAATTCAAGTTTATGAAGGGAAACGGGGTGGGGTAGGAGCTGATGATTGCCAAGGACTCATTATAAACCAGACACCGTGCTTGCAGTTGACACGAGCCACCCCTGAGCTGCTGGTCTCCTCTTTTCATAGATGAGGAAAGGTAAGTGTCACAGTTCAAGTAAGCAGAAGAACTGGCGGTAGATTTACACTTGTCAGACTTCAAAGCTGCTTCCCTATCACATTGTCCTGGAAATTAAGGATAGTTGTGCTCTTTTGGGAAATCTGTATGTTGACTCAGTATAATCCTTGCCTCCAACTTGTGTATAGATATTTTCAAAATGAATACAGATACTGAGAGCCAGTGAGTTCCATCGGGCAGTCTGCCTCGGTCTCCAGTGGTTGGAAATGTTGATGTGGAGTCAGCTACCGTGAGAGCATTGCGCCACGTCTGGAGCCAGCTGGAGGCTATTCTGACTGGATGAAACTCAGAATGGTACCGAGTCCAAACTCGTTCTGTTCACTGCAGGACAGGCCAATAAATCAAGAGACAAGGTGTTGGGGCAAGAAATAATGACTTTATTCAGAAAGCCAGCAGACTGTGGAGATGGGGGACTAATGTCCTAGAGAACCATCTTCCCCAAGTCAGAATTCAGGCTCCTTTTATACTAAAAAGGGGAGGGGAGTGTGGTTGGTTGTTGCAAACTTCTTGGTGTCAGAATCCTTTGTTCTTGCAGCTGTCCACCTAGGTCAGGTCACGGTGTCCCTGTCAACCTCCAAGAAGACAAATGTTATTCTCTGTTCTGCAACTTTTTATCGCTATGTTAATGGAAAAGTGTTAAACCCTTAAAGGTCAGAGTCTTGAGAATGAAATATCCTGTATATTTCAGGCTTTTGGCCACGTTCTTTTATAAAAGGTGCAGAACCAGCATGACTAAGCACAGAAAACAGAGCACAGGGTTGGAGCTAAAGGAACAGATCTAATATGGAGTCAGATTTGTTCTTCCCTATTACAAGAAGAGAACAGGGAAATAATTGGAAAAAAAGAACAGTGTTGCATTTTAAAAGATAATGATTAAAAATCATGAAACTGGCCCTGAGATACAAAAGAAAGGTTCCAGGAAGGAAGTAGGAATGAGGAGGTCACCTTTCGGATTAGCAGGGACTTCTTTTCCTTTATTCATTTCGGGATTGCTTTGTTGCTCCTAAGCGAGCATGCTGACTTTACAGTGTTTCCATATTAACTTTTCCCTCATTAATCTTGCATTCCGTAGCAATATGATATTACTTTGTCTGACCTAAACCAGCCAGTGCTTGTTAGTCTGTTGAAAAGTAAGAGAAACGATGACACTGAGGTTCGGATGGCCCACCTGATCCCCGAGCTCTGCTTTCTCACAGGTAACGTCTGTGTTTTACACTCTTTCCGGCTCTCCATCACAGACTGCTGCCACTTAGCAGTGGGTCAAACCTCCTTCAGTTAGCTGAGTGCCGGAGCACTAATTTAACCCATGGAGGATGACCCTTTAAGTAATTTATCTGATGATACAGAAAGTGGGAGGGTAGAATGTCCTCTGGAAATGGCTCTGCAGAGTGAAAATTACATGTTTCCTGTATCTCATGCCTTCCATTGGTTAATTCGATGTTAAATTGGTCTCCAGACATTTTCCTAAAACCAAGCTGCTGTTCCTCAGTTTTTGAACATCACTGGCCTAGGAAGCCACATGACTTTAATTTCCTTTTAGTGTATTCTTTGAGTGGTGCTGAAATGATCCTTAGCGTCTTTCACATGAGCTTCCAGAAGGTAATCTTTACTCTGTAGTGGAAGCTGAATAACTGTGTCAGGTACTTTTAATCATGTCCATCTGATTACCGGGGTGAGACTAAGGAGGGAAGGCTTTCTGCCTTTCACATTTTTGTATTGCTCGAATCAGCTGTGATATGCATGTATTTCTTTTGCGATTAGAAAAGTTAGTAAGGACATCCTCTTGGTGGGGATGGATGCCCCTTTTTTTTTTCCATTGATGTGTAGTTGATTTACATTGTTGCATTAATTTCAGGTGTACAGCAGAGTGATTCAGTTATACATATACATGAATACATATAAAAATGTTTAGATTCTTTTCCATTATAGGTTATTACAAGATATTGAATATAGTTCCCTTGTTATACAGTGGGTCCTTGTTGTTTGTCTGTTTTATATATAATGGTGTGTGTATGTTAATCCCAAGCTCCTAATTCAAGGATGCCCATTCTTAGTGATACCTTGGCATTCTAGATCTGCACAGTCCGCGGTGGCCTCTGGCCACGTGAGTTCACTGATCACTTGACACGTGACTAGTGCAGCCAAGGGGCTGGACTGAGAAGTGCTGTAAGTGTGAAATAGATTGGATTTCTAAGACATAGTATGAAGAAAAAGGGAAACTACCTCATTAATAAATTTTTTTATATTGGTTGCATGTTGAAATGATAATATTTTGCATATATTGAGTTAAATAATATATACTATTTGAATTATTGCATCTGCTTCTTTTTGGCTTTTTTTTTTTTTCATGTGGCTACTAGAAAATTGTAAATGACACGTGGCTTGCATTGCCGTTAGATGGTGCTATCCAGGTGGTGAATCTGATTCAGTTGAAGTGAAAGGTTTTATTGCACTGTGCTTTGAGATGGGCTGTGGTTGCATCGAGGACTGTTCATTGTCCACTTTCTTTTTGTTCACATTTAATAGGGCTTCCTAGCCAGGCGACTACTGATTTCCAGCTGATGAAGGCTGTAGCCGAAGAAACGCGTCTCAATCCTTTGGGAAGGCAGCAGCGCCTGGCCAGACTCGCAGACGACATCCAGAGGTACCAGGACATCTCTTAACATCTGGGGCTCCACAGTGTCCCTTTGTTAACAAGTTTATTATCAGGATTAATGCCTCACCTTTATTGAGCGCTTTATTGCCAGGCAACGTGGTTGCACTTGCCACGTATTGTCATTTGTAAGCTTTACATCAACCCTAGGAAGTAGCTAATTATTCCTCCATCTTGCCAATAAGGAACCATGGCTTTAATAGATTTCAGAGTTTACTCAAGGTCACATGTTACTAAATGTTGGCACTTGGAGTTGAAGCCTGGTCTGTCTGGCTCAATTTTGCCAACCAGCAAGGCACCCCGGGAGTCTTTTCCATCCCTGTGTGTCCCAAACGGGCACTGTCTTCCCGTAATTCCTTCCCTTCAGCAGGGGAAAGAACAGTGAGTAGAAGTGGAAGTTGGGAACCTTAAAAAAAAAAGGTCAGTCTTTGAGTGGTTCAGTAAGTTATAATTCTGTTACTAATGATTACCGTTCTTCAGAAAATAAGCCCTTTAATGATTTAAAACTCAACTCTGTTGACAGGAACAAGGATGCTCGTTTTGAGCTGGAGACCTGGGGGCTGCATTTTGGATGCCAGATGTCTCTGACTGGCCGGGTGTTGCCTTCAGAAAAAATAATACTGCAAGACCATGTAGTAAGTGTTGTGATTTTCTTTTCACTTAAAAGTATTTTCTTGAACATGTGTCAGTTTGATTGTATGCCAGAGCGACTAGCGGACTCACAATATAATATTCATTTGGTTTCTCCACACTCATGTCCATGCCCTCCATTCGTCCTAAACCTCCAGGTCCCCCTGTTTTCCTTTTAAATCCGTGTGCACTTCCCAGGGCTTAGTGGTAACCAGCGGACACGATTTAGGTCAGTTAATGTGGTGTGGTGTCACCTTTAAAGACACATTAGAAAATGGCATTTCAAGTCATTGCAATCAAAACACACCCACCTATTATTGGGTGTTGTAGTAATCCTATTTGACTAAAAAGAAAAATCCATGATACCTCAGGTTAATTCCAATAGAATTATTTCCTCCCACCCCCTACCCCAAAGCAAAATGCTGCTCACCCAGTCTAAACATGAAGAAATTCGACTCCACACCAGCCACAGCATTTAGGCAGAGAGGCATTCTGCAACCTGGAGAGACACATCATTGCCGCTTCTGGGTTTCAGTGGAAAAAAATGAACCTATTCTATGCAAAAATTGTACATTATCTTTCTACTCTTCCCCTCTGTTAGGCCATTTTAAAAAAATTGAAGTGTAGTTGATTTACAATGCTGTGTTCGTTTCTGGTGTACAGCATAGTGATTCAGTTATACATACATACATGTATTCTTTTTCATATTCTTTTTCTTTATATGTTATTGCAAGGTATTGAATATAGTTCTCTGTGCCATACAGTGGGGCCTTGTTGTTTACCTAGATTATATGTAGTAGTTTGTCTTGCCCATTTCTAAAGCAAGTTACATTCTGTGTCATTTTTTAAGGATGAATATTAAGTGCTTTTCATAGTACTACACAGTAGACATACAGAGATACATGATCACAATTTCATTTTAACTTTTTAAGAAATTTATTTTTATTAATATACATTTGATTTACAATGTTGTGTTAGTTTCAGGTGTATAGTAAAGTGATTCAGTTATATATATACCTCTATACTTTTTCAGATTCTTTTCCATAGAGGTTATTATAAGATATTGAACATAGTTTCCTGTACTGTATAGTAGGTCCTTGTTGTTTATCTGTTTCATGCATAGTAGTGTGTGTATAGTATTTTGCTTGTTTGTTTGGATTTTTTTCTTTTTTTGGTTCACATCTCTTTAATGAGATCAAAGGCTCCTGTGTATGACTTGGGGGTAGAACTATCACAAACCCCCAGACACTGCCCTTCTCAGGACTCCAGTCCTTTCAGACAGGTTCTAGGAGGGCAGGGCGAGGCCAGGGAGAACTCAAGGTGTAGGGACCAGGTCTATTTCTGGTGGGCAAGTAACCTACCACCCACTCAGAACTGCTTATGGGATGTCACCTTCACTGGCAGCCAGCCCCTGGGAGGGACCTGCAGTATGGGATTTAGGGACAGCATGCAGGGGAACTGGTCCTCCAGATCTGGTGAGGTGGCAGTGGTCCTAGCTTCCGTAACTGGCTCACCCTCCCTGGAGTCAGGACAAGGGCAGAACTCAGGACCCAAGTCACCAGTCCAGCGGAGACAGCGGCAGGAGAGGGGTGTGGGGCAGGGCTCGCCCCTGGCGCAGGCTCACTATTCTGCTGAGGAGGGGCACTCTGGTGGGAGGAAACACCTTCCACATTTGTTCCATCGCAGTAGGCAGGGCAGCTAGAAGTGGAGGAGCGACAGGTGTTAATCCCAACTCCTAATTTATCCTCTCCCCAGCTCCCCGGCCCCGCCTGCCCCTTTCCCCTTTTTAACCATAGTTTGTTTTCTATTGTCTATTCCTGGTTTGTAAATAAATTCATTTATATCATTTTTTTTAGGTTCCACATATAAGTGATATCATATGATATTTGTCTTTGACTTCACTTCACTTAGTATGATCATCTCTAGGTCCATCTATATAAGCAGAAGCCTAGGGACCAGCCTAAAGTCTCTTCAGTGCAGGAGCTTGTTTTTCCTGGTCGCCTGGGGAACCTTCCAAGAATGAGAAGGCAGCTTGTGTCCTGGCCTCATCTGTGCTCCTGGACGGAGCCGCTCCTGGCGTAATGTATATTCTGAATTGCCCTGTAGGGGTTCTTAGTTTCGGTATGATGATCTGGCGTGCCAATCATCAGCATTCTCTATTAGCGATATCTTGACGCCCAAAGCAGAGATACCAAACCGGACAGCCACTCCCCTGAGTCATTCATAGTCAGTGCCGTAGATTTTTAGAGCTGGAAGGGAACCCAGAGCTTTGAACCAGACACCTGTCTTTGCACATAGCAGAGGCCCACGAGGTAAAGGGACTTGCCAAGGGTCTGCAGGCCTGGAATGGCTGACCTGCGATGATGCTCAGATGCCTTTACTCCCAGGAAGTACGTGTATTCTGTTCAAATAAATGTATAGCACTTCTCTCTGTGTTTTAAGTCTGTGGATAGCAACTTGTACTAAATAGTTTTTATGACAAACACGAACTATCTTCACACCGTCTTTATTTCATTGCTCTCTGAGTAAATCTGTGTAACCCTTTCACGACCCTTCATTTTCTCAGTGTCAACCTGCGTCTGCTGCTGACTGGTCCAGGGATATGCGAACTTGCAAGATTTTAAGTGCACAGTCTTTGAATAAGTGGTTGATTATATGCAGTAGCAGAGCTGAAAGAGTGATGGAGAGCTTTCTGAATTGCTTGAGAAAAGTTGGAAGCCCCATGGGATTTCATGTGGAGTACCCTAAAATGTGAGGATATGCTGAGAAGCATACCAACTTTTTTCTGTTTGTTTATTTTTTATTGCAGTATAGCTGCTTTACAATGTTGTGTTAGTTTCTAGGGGACAGCAAAGTGATTCAGTTACACATAAATATATTCTGTTTCATAGTTTTGTCACTATAGGTTATTACAAGATATTGAATATAGTTCCCTGTGCTATGGATTAGGACCTTGTTGTTTATCTATTTTATATATAGTAGTTTGCCAACTTTTTTCATATATGAATTTGGTTTGGTTAGAAGATAGGATATAATGGTTGATATAGCTACAAAAGTTTCTTTATGTTAATAAAATTTCCTAATATAAAGTGCCCAGAAAATTGTTGTAAGTAGATAAATTTGGCAATGATTAAATTTTGATCCTGTTAAAATATATTTTATGTTTTGTAAAACTGGGTTTTTTGTAGTTCTTCCTAGGCAACAGGTACATTTCCTCAAAATCTTTCCAGTCCTCGTTGGGATATAAATCCTAAATAAATCTCTGTATTGTTGCCTCCTCCTCTTTTGTCTTAATTCCTCCATATCACTTATTTATAAAGCTTAACAGCAAGTAGGATATTAACAGGTAAAAGTTGCATTTCCTGACTTATTTGATAGATTTTATGTTTTAAAACCTAACGTAAAAATAGATCCGAAATTTGCTTTTCTAATTCTGTCACAGTAGCATAAGATTTGTCATTTCGATAGTTTTCTGATAAAGCCAAGCTCGTTCATTTAACCTTTGAACATTTATTGAGTATCTACTAGTGTAGACACTGTGCCATTTGCATGGGGATAAGAAAGATAAGTAAGATGCTTTCAGTTTAGTAAGGGACCCATTCATACCCAGCCACACTCAACACTGACTATTGCTTTGCTTTAGAAAAGCCATGAAGTTGGTCATGCCTTACTTCACTGAGCTCGATATGCTTCGAAAAGAGCAACAGATGGTTCTTTTCCTTCATTGTAGTGGAGGTGCAGATGTCCTAATTGGCAGGATGGGGAGTTACTCTTTAAACACACGGGCGCTAATTAATTACATCAGCGGTGCACATTGTTGAAAACCAGGGCTGTTCCCAAAGTCTCATTTTACACTGTAGGCTAGAATTCGCTTCTTATCAAATCTGTCTATGATTGCCTGGTGTGAGTTTCACCTGCCCTAATTTCTTTTAACCCATGAGGTAATAAAGCAGGAAAAGATTAATGAAAGAAACCACAGACCCAGACCCTGGGTTGTCATCATGGGCTCTCACACAAATTCCAACAAGCCCATGCCCACGTTCTCTTCTTGGCCTGTTTTATTTGAAAGCTCATCTTTCATTCCATCCTTTTTCTTTCCCATGAAGTATCCATTTACCTGTTAGATCTGCATACACAGCTTCTCCCACCTGAAACAGTGCTGCTGGTCATTCCTGCAGCTCAGATCCAGCAAGGGGCAGACAGTGGTCCTGCCACCTGCTGGGCAAGGTTTAAAAGGCCACTGGGCACTGGGACAGTCCAACCATATGTTCATGTAGGAGGGCGAACCTACATCAAGAAACAAGATCTATAAATTCCTCTGCGTGGGAGTTTTTTCTGTAGCCTCTGGCCCGTAACATAGTGTCAGCACAGAACTGATAAATTGATAAGTACTTGTCCACTGATTGATTAAGGCTAAATATTCCAGGCTCCAAAAAGGTGCTACTAAGGAAAAACAAATCTTGTAATCTGAATCATACAGATTAGTGGAATATCTTGGTCTCATTAACCTAATGATTTTTATTTTAAATTTTCATGGAGATGCAGTATTAGAGAATTGTTAGTCCCACTTTAACTTAAACTCTATGTCAGATTTTTTTTTAGGTTTTCTCCTTTTCTGAGTTGGTTTTGATCATTTGTATTTTCATAGAAATTTACTTCAACCAGATTTTCTAACTTTTTAGCTAAATGCATAGAGTAATACAAAAATATCTCATATATATATATATATATATATATATATTTTTTTTTTGGTGGGGGAAGGTAACTAAGTTTATTTATTTATTTGCATTTTTTTTGACAGACGTACTGAGGATTGAACCCAGGACCTGGTGCATGCTAAGCATGTACTCTACCACTGAGCTATGCCCTCCCCCTTGATGGATATTTAATATTGAAACTTGTGGTTTCCAAAGTTCACTTTCAACCTCGTTTTGAACAGCAGAATTGTTGTTCACATAGAACTATACAATTGAGAAAATTTCACTTTTCACTAACCTATTTTTTAAGCTAATAAAAATGGTAATTAAATGGCATTATCTTGTGTGGGAGAAACAATTTTAGACTCCAGAGGTTTTCAGTTTAATGATTTTTTTCCCGTCAAATTATAGTCGTTATAAAAATCGATTCATATTATTTTTAGCTCCATATGACTATGTGCTACTAGGAAGGGAATTATGTATTTTCAAAATTAATCTGTTTCTGTAGCATAAAAGTACAAGAAAATGCAGCTGCCTTTGTTCACGCTATACAGAAGCATGTTGACCCTGAGGTTCAGTTGGTGAGTACAAGATACTTTTTGTGTTTTGATGTATAATTTTCATTTTTTCTTTATATCTAACAGCCTTGAAAGAAGGAATTTGAACATATTCTTCCATAATTTGTTTGCAAATTGCTGTGCATTTCCCAAGCACCCACGAAAGTATTAGTCTTAGTATTTTAAGCAATATTTTATTTCCCTTTCATGTTTCTAATATTCATTTCCAAATACTTGTTGTTACATCTGTATCAGCGTCCTGGATGCCTGCCAGGGAAGGGGGTAGTGGTCATCTTTTACTTAAGATTCAAGATAAATTGACTTCCATCTTATCCCATTAATGTTGGGGTACCTGGTGTTCCCCTCAGTGTTTCAGGGGATTCTTGGATGTTTCCATGTCACCTATGGCCCCACGTTCCTTTCTCCTCTGAATTCTTGCCCCCCTTTCGTGAGTGCCTTTTCCTCCTGCATTGCCTCACCCTGAGGGGCACCCACAACTGCTTCATTTCCTGAAGTGCTGTGTGTGCGTGTGCGGAGGGCTATGTGGTGTGCGTGTCCCTGCAGTACCGCAGGGCTTTTCCTGATCCGTCTCCTCCAGCGCCTTCATCCCCGCGCCCCACACTCCTGTTCACAGCTTATGCAAAGGAGTTTAGTTTTCTCTTTGTCTCCCTTTTAAAGTCAGACACAAAAAATGGTGTGGGAGGATATTATAATGAACAAAGGAAGTTCTCACCCTAAGAGCATTCATCTTTCACTTAAAAAAGTAAAATCAAACTTAGAGACAAGTTGCAAGAATAGTACAAATAACTCCATATACCTTTCACCCAGATTCCCCAATTGTTGGCATTTTATCATATTTATTTCCTTCCTTCCTTCCTCCCTCCCTCCGTCCCTCCCTCCCGTCCTCTTCCTTCTTTCTTCCTATCTATCTATCTATCTATCTATCTATCTATCTATCTATCTATCTATCAATTTTTTTCCCTGATGCCCATTATCCTCTGAATACTTTTGCTCACATTTCCTACACGAGGTTACTCTCCTATGGAACCACCATCAAAATCAGGGAGCGGTATTGACCAGCTAATCCACAGACTCCATTCACCTTTGTCCATTTGTTCCCAAAATGTCCTCTGTAGTGAAAGAATCTAGTATGTTGCACTTGGTTGCTCTGTCTCTTTAATCTCTCCTTCAATCTGGAATGGTTCCATAGTTTTCCCTTGACTCTGATGACCTTCCAGTTTTGAAGCTTATAGACCGGTTATTTTATATAATGTCCCTCAGTTTGGGTTTGTCTGATGTTTCCTTATGATTAAGTCAGGTTATCACTTTTGGCAGGAGAATGGCAGCAACAATTCTGCGTTCTCATTGCGTCTTACCGGGGACACTCCCTTGATTAAGGTGCTGCCTGTCAAGTTTCTCCGCTGTGAAGTTACTCTTTTTTCTTTTGTAATTAGTTTTTTTTTTGGTAGGGAGATAATTTGACACTATGTAAATATCCTGTTCCTCATCAAGGTTTTACCACTAGTTTCAAAATCCATTGATAATTCTTGTCGGAATCCACTACTGCTATGATGGTGGCTTTCTAATTTCATACTTCCTTCTGCATTTATTAGGTAGCATTATATTAAAAGGAAGACCTTTCTCTTCCTCTCGTTTCTTTGTTCGTTTATCGGCATCAGTGTGGGTTCATGGACCCCTATTTTATTTAACCAGCTTAAAAGTCTATTACTACTGTTACTTATTTTGGTGTCCAAATTGTCCCCAGTTTTGCCAATGGGAGCCCCACTGAGGCTGGCTTCTGGGTCTTTTTGACATGTCTCCATCTTTTTTGGAACACTTTCTCACTGTATGGCGCAATAAGAGGTTCCACGTTAATCTTGACGTTTTGCTGCCCAGCTGTGGAATCAGATATTTCTCCAATGAGCCCCGATTCCTTTTGGTAGAGAACAGTGTTTAGTAACCAAGATCTGGGCACTGGGAGTGCTTATTTGCTACTGGGGGGGGGGGGGTCATTGCCCATAGGCTTTCTCAGTGGGCAAAGCTAGGAAATACACATGTGTTTGTGTCTCATATATGTGTATACATGCACACTGGTATCTGTTTTATTACTATATGTAGCTATGCATATATTGAAATATTTAATAAAAAATTGAAATATTAAAAACACGTGCTCACACTCCTAGTTCCAATCCAGTGCCACGGGAAAGTGTTCCCGCTTTCTGTATTTGCCCCTCTTTTCTCTAATAGTGAGAAGCATGGCTCTTACTATTTTCCACATACTTCTTACTTCTCCGTCCCTGGTGTGTAACCAATCTCACTTGGCTCCCACCTTCTTTTGGCCCTGTTCCTTACTGGGCCACCACCTTGTTCTGCCACCTACCTTGCTTGTCCCCAGATTTGTAGGATGGAAGGCAGGAAGACCCCTAAGGGAACACTGATGACAATTAAAAAATATTTGCCTTACTTTAATTACATAGAAATAATTTTAGCCCTAACATGATTTTGAAGAGTTCCATTGGTGAAAACAAAATCACTTTTTTCCCTGTTAATCATTATCTTTTCTATAATTTTGGGGTTTTTGAAAGCAGAGAATAAAAGATAGGAAGAAGATGGGGTCAGAACAGGAGAGGTCCTTCTATGAGGAAATACCTGGTAGGAAATAGGGACAGTGGCAGAGGAGGGTGGAATTTAAAAATACCAGGGCCCTGAAGCTTCTTTCTCCTTATTTGCCCTCCCCTCAGACCCTACACTCAAGTTCTAGTCAACAAAAAATTTGTGCTTGCTGCTTTCTTTTATTTCGGCTGTCCAGTGCCTAATGGGAAAAAGACCACAATTTAAGCTAATTCTCCACTTTGCTTTTCCGCGGATGGAGCTGGAGAGGCGGCAGTGGGGGGCAGACCTGGAGAGCCCCTTGGAGGGGCACTGCCCACAAGGGAGGTAGCTAGCTGGAGGAAGGGCCAGGAGAGAAAAGAATCTGAGGAGACGGACAGAATCAAATCGGTAGAGAAGCAAGGAGGAAGGAAGAGCCAAGAGAGGTGGTAGGATTGGAGAGGGGCTTTGCAGAGCGGATGGGAGATGAGGAGGCATTTCAAACGGCTTGGAGTCTTTGTTCTTTAAAGGCCATTTAAGAGAAGCACTGTAGTGTGTTAATGCTTGCTTCTTGGGATCTTAAGGGCAAAAAATGTTTGGAGAATCCATGTATTCGTTGTTAATTTTTTTAAAGCTTCCTCTAAGCGTAAGTTAATTGACTTTCTTTTCTCCTGATTTTGTTTGTTTGTTTGCTTGCATTTAGGTAATGTGTATTCTGCCTTCTCAGAAGAACTACTATGATTGCATTAAAAAATACTTGAGCTCCGACTGCCCAGTCCCAAGCCAGTGTGTGCTCGCTCAGACGCTGAACAAACAGGGGATGATGATGAGTGTGGCCACCAAGATCGCCATGCAGATGACCTGTAAACTCGGGGGCGAGCTGTGGGCCGTGGAGATTCCTGTGAGCGCCGGCACTCATTTCCTTTTAATCGTCAGCCAGTCTATTAATTCATTTTAAAAATTAAGTCAAATTAGAAGCCATTTTCATGCGACCCTAGAAATACCTGTCTTGTTTGTTGGGTGTGCGTGTGGTTTGTCCGCTTGAGTTCCATGATGCAAGCCAGCGGGAGGGCGTCAGGAAGGTGAGGGTGGCCCCCCTTCTCAAAGAGCTTCAGTTAAGCTGATCACAGAGTATTTCATGAAAGAAAATCTAGTTTGACTGAGACTTGGAGGGATCTGATTTGGAGAGTCCCAGCAGCAATTTATAATCTGTGCTCCTTCACCTGCTCTCGGCCAGGTGCCACCTTGATGGGAACCCCCTCCCTAGAGCTTGGGGAACTGGCAGAGCCTGTGAGCCGAGCGTCCAGGCTGCTTTGGGAACTGAGAAAATCCTCTTCTTTTTCCTGAACCATGGCCCCCACGGGAGGAAGCCAAGTAGTGAGGGTTGAGGGAATGCTGCCCATCCCATTAGGCTTCCAATAACCAGGTTGTACGTCCGAGATTACCCCCAGCAGTGCCCCCGGGAGGTGCAGAGACAAGGGAGGACTCAGAGAGCTGAAGAGCCGGGAGTGGAATTTCTCTTCAGACTCCTTCAGCTGTGAGTCAGGAGATGGATGGACTGACCACTTTGCCAGAATCCCTTAAGCCACTGATGGCCCTTGCCCACCCCTACAAAGCATGGTGGCCACTTTGGACCACAGTGAGTCTCTTAAGTGTAGTATGTACTCTATTTTTCCTCTGGCTTTAAGTCTCTTTCGCTTCTGGTTTGAAAATCTGCCTCATCTGGACCTTGATCTCCCTGGCACATAGCTTAACTTAAATAATTGAATGACTAGGGACAGTCTTTTTAAAAACTTCATATGAAATCATTGCTTGGGAAAATGATACCGTATTCCATTAAATCATGAAAAATTTCACTTTACAGTTAAAGTCCCTGATGGTGGTTGGCATTGATGTCTGCAAAGATGCATGCAGCAAAGGAATGGTGGTGGTTGGATTTGTGGCCAGTATTAACCCCAGAATCACCAGGTACTTTTACAATGACCCTAACATCTTCCTCAATTATTTAGATTATTACTTGTGGTTTAATGAAAGACTATACCACAAAGAATAGTTTATATTCTTCACTCATTTTTTAAGTATGAACACTTATGGTCATAAATTATGCCTACATGTACGAATGTGATTGATAATATTGGCTTCATTAAGCCAGTATTTTAATGAAGCTAAAATGTAGCCTCATTAGAAAGCTATTTTTATACAAACATTAGGACCAGCTATTGCTCGTATGCAAATCGTATTTCCCAAATGGTGGCTGTGTAGAAATTCTTGTGCATTTCTTTCCTGAACACCTGTCCTCTATTGGGCGCCATACTGGGAAGTTTACATACATTATATCAGGCAGCTGAGAATCAGATTGCCTGGATCTATATCCCGATCTGCCATTTACTTATTCTGTATAAATGCTTAATACATGCTTGCTGTTATTGTTATTATTTTTTGGGGGGTGATTAGGTTTATTAATTTTAGAGGAGGTACTGGGGATGGAACCCAGGACCTCGTGTATGCTAAGCATGTGCTCTACCACTTGAGCTATACCCTCCCCCTCTTGTTATTATTTTTAATGCTTGCAGACGCTGGATGTGGTGGTTGTTCACACAACTGTTAAAAACATAGGCAGGATTAGGGATAACCCATTAAACATTGACTCATAGAACGTATTAAATTGTAGTTCTTAGAAATGTTTCAATATCTGTAAGTAAACAATGTGTTTTGAAGCTGTTTGTAACATGTTTTCTTCCTAGAACTAAGCTATTTGATTTACTCCATTAAATTTGTGATTGGGTATTTATCTGGGATTGTGGGAAACAGGAAACGGAGCAGTCTAACTGCGTGCCTCCGATTTCAGTCCTGGTTGAATGCGGTCCCTGTTCCGTGTTACTTCCTTAATCAAGCACGTACAGGAGCTGTGGCTTGTTGGCAGCATTTCTGACTGTGCCATTATTATCGCACGGAGTTAGAGAACTAGGATAATGTGGTTGCATATGTACCATTAAGTCATGATCTTCATTTTCCAAGTGCTTTTAATTAATAATTTCAGCAAGAGAACTTCTGATCAGTTAATCATATTAAGATGTCAGTTCCCAAAAGCTCACATGTAGGAATGGAGTTTATGCTTGAGAAATCTTTGAATATTTTAAAAGTAGACAATCGACTGCTAAATGAATAAATTCCTTTATAGTAATAATATACTGGCCTCTGTTGATTAATGCCTATTATGTACCAAGTGCTGTGCTAAGGACTGTACATATTATCTCATTTAATTTTGACAACAACCCTATGAGGTACTAACTGCCTTACTATCTAATAAATTTCCTTGGTACAGATGAGGAGACTGAGGCCTAGGGTCACATAGCAAAGTCACGGAGCTGGTGAGTGTACCAGCAGGATTTGAACCCAGATATGTCTGATGCTACCACTGTGCTTTAGTTTCTTGTGTCAGTAAATTTTATTTGGTTGGGGGTTTGTGAGAGAAGAGCATTTTAATATAATTGTGTATGGAGTCTGGAGTGTAAAAAATTATGAACATCTTTTTTACTTATAATGTCTGTTTTGCAATTTAACACTAACGCATGTTTGTATTAGGACTTTTGAGGGTGAGCCTTCCTTTTGTTCTTTGCTGACTTTAGGTGGTTTTCCCGCTGCATCCTTCAGAGAGCGGCGACAGATATTGCTGATTGCTTGAAAGTTTTCATGATCGGTACTGAATCAGTCTCAGTGGGAGTGGGCTCTGAGGACTGTTCCTTCAGACCCAAAGTCCATCAGCCTCTAGCAGACCAGACCGCTGGAAACAGACTCCTCAAGCTGGCCTGAGTCAACTGGCATCCAGTTGGAGACCCCAAAGCTGTAGCCTGACTCAGGCTAACAGACAAGCTCTGTAGAATTTATGTGTGTGCCTATGGGTGGTAAACTCAAAGCCAGGGGCAAAAGTGTTGGTAGCTGCTGGTGGCTCTGGCAAGCGGTTTGAAGGCCAAGAGAAAACTACTCTGGAGGAGCAAGGATTATGATAGACCAGCATTGGGTCTAGAAATAGGAGGGACACCTTTGGGGCTGGGGCTGGGGATGCTGGCAGATAGTGTGTCCTGGCAGGAGAAGATGGGGAAGACAGCAGATGGGGAAGGGCACCCTCCTCACAGCAGGATGCAGAGGAAAGCGGGATCTGGGGTTCCCACGCCCTTGCAAACCCTGGCCGGAATCTGGCCTGACCACTCCCTACTACTGTGACCTGTGCAACTCCCTTCCTCCCCCGATCTGCATTGTCCCGTCTGTAAACTTTGGGGGTTGTAAATATTTGTCTCCTAAAAAGGTGAATTTGGTGATATGTGTTGGTGATGGGCTTACAAATACGATCATCATCTATCAAACTAAAATGAATTTCCTGGACAATAAACTCTCCTAAAGCAATTGTGTGATGTGAAGAGAACTATTGCAGCATATTACTGTGCCCTCACTTCAAAACCTGCTCGTCTTTTTTTCTTTCAGTAGTTAGGAAAAGTTTCTGTTAGGTAGGAGTCAGTTACTGTCTGGTCTCTGCCCTTTAGGCAATTCCTAGTTAGAGTGGCCGGACGTTTTTCAGAGTTGATGTTGTCATCAGACTTATGGGTGGGTCCTGCTGCAGGGATGCTTTTAGAGGAACAGTCAGATCCTTTCCTATGTTTTCATATTTGTGCTCACTGGAGAAGAAAATTCATAGAATTACCCAGTCTATACTTACAGAGAGGATTTAAACATGTCAAGAAACTAAATTAGTATTAATTTGGTTTGGGGGAATTTGTATGTCTGTTGCATGAATTAAATTTTAACTTATTGCTTAAATATTAAAATTTTACTGAAGAGATATGCTAAGTTCAAGAATATATTATACCATAGAAACCATTACGAACCCTCAAATAGCAGAGATGCACAAATATTCCTCAAAGTTACCTGTTTTTATGTTATTGCAAATACAAGCCCAGTTGAGTCTGACCCTATTTCATGGGGGTGTGAAATAGATAACTATTTAAATTTTGAAATATATGGTAATTTTATTCTTTGTTGGCGTCAGACCAGCCATTCTTTTCTTACTAATGCCGAATTCCGCAGGGGCACTCAACAAATGGCACAAGCATAACCATGATGTGCCAGCACGGATAATTGTGTACCGTGATGGTGTCGGGGATGGTCAGCTAAAAACACTCATGGAGTATGAAGTTCCCCAGCTGCTGAGCAGTGTGACAGAAGCGAGTTCGAACACCAGGTATCAAATTTGTGTTCTTTCCCCAGACTCCCAATTCCAGCACATTCATCATAACTATTGTCACTACTAAATGGCAGCATCTCTCTCTCTTTTTTTTTCACACAGTTAAGTTTCACTCCGTTTCTGTATTGTGCAAGGTACAACTGGGTGGGTTCCCCTAGATTGAAGGGTATTTTCGATGATCTTATGTAAACAGTTGGGATGGTGTGAGCTTTTGGGGGCCCTGGGTGGGGGCACCAGAGGAAGGCAGGTTTCCTCCAGAGCGGCTGACACTGAGATTCAGCAGGAAGCCCGCAGGGCTGCTAGCAGCTGTAGATGCTTCATACATATTAACATGCTAGGGGGAAAAAAACAGGTGATGGCTTCAAATTTGAGACCCAAGTCAGCACACAGGGCAGAAGCCTCTGCAGTGCAGACACTGATGCAGCGTAGGTACCGTGAGAGCGGGGCTGTGTGTGGAAACCAGATCACCCTAAACACCAGACACCTTGATTCGCCGTCACATTCCTAGATTCGATGTTTTAGTACATTTTCTTACATGATGATGCCAAGTGGCAAGTGTGAGAAAAATATTAGAACTGGAAAACGGAGGAGGATGACAATTTTAAGTTGGCTTCTTAAAATACTCAGAAAGCATCTTATTCCAAGCAGTGCGTAATCCTTGTCTGGAGAGTTATACCATTGTACCCACCATGAACCAAAGTGTCGGAGCCACAAGCCACAAGGAAGCTGAGCCTTGACCTCATCTGTGACCTTAGAGAAGAGGGAGAACCTGATAACTCGGGGGCCGAACCGCCTTTATCTGCATCCAAACTGTCAGAGCCAAAATTTCTCTCTCCCCACTGACCTATTAAGAATCACCAGCGTGCGGTTTAGGGATCACAGGAGTAGATTTAGCTGACAGTGCTAAGGAGTTAGTTCTCTTGCACTGTAACATAAACTTTTAAAAAGTTCCAAGATTGAAAACATTAATGTATTTTAAAAATAATTAAAATGTTTAAAGTGAAATTTCAGAGTGATCCTTGCATTCTAGAGGTTTTTTTTCTATGATGGTGAATATTTGGATTTGGAGTTTACCAAATACTGACTTGACTTTTGATCATTCAGCATTTGGCCCCAATGTGTATTTGGTCCATCTGTCCATCCACCCAGGCATGTGTTTTGCAAGATGCAGAAGCAGTGATTTGAGGAGTAAGAGGGACTTGTGGTTCTCCCTTTGCTCTTCAGAAACTGAGAGGAAGAGTGAAGGTGGAAATAGGGAGACTGTTGCTAATGGGAAAAAAAATCTTGCCTCCATAGATCATTCTGGAAAATACTCCTTTAGAAGTGCTAATTATAGTTTATTGTCCTGTTAACCATTCCTCCCCTTTAAATGATGTAAACAGGTCAAATGACTGGGCATAACATACTTTTGTAACAAATGAAGAAAATCCTTAATTTAAAAAATTATATGATTTAAAAAATTAGAAAAGAAATTGTGGCATACACACACACACAATGGAATACTACTCAGCCATAAACAAGAATAAAAT